ATTTAGGCTCAGGCTCATTTCAGAATGGTTTCGGTCTTCGTAGTTCTCTTGTTGCCTTAGACAATTGCCATTCAGAATCGAGCCGAAGTCGGTTTTGACCCAAGAGTGAGTGCCAAAGCGGTAATCGCCCGCAATGCGCAGAGCACGCTCGCGCAGCGTTCATTTGAAAGTTGCCGTTGGCACCCGTTCCTGCCAGCCCAGAGCATCGCTCGAGCAGTGCGATCTTGGCAGTTAGCTTTGCCCCTGGGACCACCCCAGCTCTTTTCGTAGTTTCTGTTTCACCAGCTCTGACACCAGTATAAGATGGTGTGGTAGCAGCACAATGTTTCTGTTACTGTGATGTGAGGCGGCGCTGCATCGGCCGATGCGCTTATTGGTTGCATCGATGAATGCAGGCATCCGGCCTGCTAGAGTACACGATCCGAGACCAAAGTTCACCTTGCCATTTCTAGACCTTGACACGCATGGGCCAGGCAACGAGGTAATCGCTCTCGCAGGTGATGGGTGGTTGCTTGGGCGGCATTGGCATTTTTCTGAGCTCCGAGCACTGGTGCTTATCATTGCCGGGCGACAGGATTCCACGAGGAGGTTTGTTGAAGGAAAGCCTAGAAAGCCTAGCCCTTAGCCGAGTGCTTTGGCTTGTGTTGCATGCTGTGAGGAATGAATTTTTGTGATATGTGTCAGAATGTCCAAGTGCCTCTACGGCACATGAGATCCTCAGGTCCGCCGTCCCTGACCCAGCAAGATCTCGGCAATAGCCCAGGGATCTACGACATCATTGTTGTTGGCATCCAGGATGCCACATGAGTCTCAGACGGTCTTTGTGGAATTGTAGCCACCTTGCTGAAAATCCAGAGGAGGCTGTTCTTGGAGCCAAAGACGCTGTTCAGCAGGCAGGCTGCAATCATTATTTGTGCCGAGATGCATGTGAAACTCATGTCAATTAGACCCGCATGTGCCATGCAGGGGGGTTCGATTCGGCACCATCACGAGCAACTCGTCATTAAGCTGCACAGACTGTGAAGGTTTTGGCATGTGGCATCTCACCGTGAGGATCACGGCAGAGAGATAGATGGCGTGTGGTGCACTGCAAAGCAAACCGATATGAGTTGCTTGTCGACCTGGCATGAGCAAAGTATGCGGTTGGAACGCGGGAAGCATGTATGCATGTATGGAGACTTTCGTGGGCAATGGGGCGTGCCTCGCTCCAAGAGCAAACAGCATACCACATTCAAGAAATGGACGTGCTGAAGCAGCAGTCAATGTAGCAAGTGCAAGCTCTTTTGTAGCGTTCTGTGAGGTGCGTCTTTAGCTTCCTTCGGTCACTTTTGCGCTCTTGCATTGTCGCCGCTGCACCGCTGCAACACGTTCGACGCTAAAGACACTTGCTGTCATGTCTTTCATCCCCAAGACAGGAATCGTACACTGCGGGAAGCACTTCGAGTGGCCTGCATCTCCTCCGGGGCCTTTGCAGTCTCAGGTTGACTGAAGGCTTGCTTCGGCATCTGGGAGACGATTACAGCGCCCATTCTGCAACTTGCTTATCCGTGACAAATCGTTACGGACGATGAAGTATGTGTGATGATTCGTTCAGTCTTGCAGTGGCCATATCTTGTCTCTTGGAAAGGTTTGAGGAGTGGAAGCCACAACCACAACAACAACGACAACAACAACAACAACAGCAACAACGAGAAGAACAACAACAACAGCAACTACTACTACTACTACTACTACTACTACTGCTACTACTACTACTACTACTACTACTGCACTTGCTGCTACTGCAATTAGTTGCTACCTGCTACCAGTACTACTACCAGTACTACCACTACCAGCACCAGCACCAGCACCAGCACCAGCACCAGCACCAGCACCAGCACCAGCACTAGCACTAGCACTACCACTCCCACTACGTACCACTTGAGTTACTAGAGGGCACCCACGTCTGCAGATGGCGATTGGCATGCTCCGGACGACCGTTGGTAACCAGCAGCTCCCTTGTCACGTCTTGAAGGTGCCTCTCAGGGTCATCAATCACACTAGATGCGGTCATGTTCGCACCCTTCAAAGCGATGAAGGAGGTTGAGGACGAAGATTACGAGTTCCAAGACGTCCTTAGGGCTTCCGGAGCAGAGCTGACCGTGGCAACCAAGAGAAAGCACTCTTTAACACAGCTGCCTCTGGGTTGTGTGAAGCATGGCTCAGGCTGCACGTGTGTCATACCAAGCACTCAGAGGGCTGTGGGACATATCAAACGATCGGGGGTCGATCAATCACCTGATGCAGTGCCCATCTCTTCACACCCTCGTCCGCCCTTCCGGGGTCTTGCCCAGCTGCCCATATAGCACAGACGAGGCCTCTTCGCGACAAGTTCGCGCGGTGCCATGGTACTGCTGCTTTTTGCTTCCAAGCTTCTCAGCCCTGAAAGCTGAGCTCTTTGGGGCGCGAGAGCAAGCGGAGTTCCAAGCTGTTCATGATGTTCTTTATCCTTAACATGCAACCCAGTCTTTTGGCCATCGGTGGTGCGCCTTCTGCAGGCCACAATTTCTCGGTAAAGTCAGGCTTTTGTTCTGACGTCTGGTAAGCTGTTCCAAGTTCAGATCGACAACGTAGACCGGTGCTGCGATCAGGCCACAAGATGTCGTCAGACGGTCAGTTCTGAGTAGGAGATCTCCTTACTTCAAAGGACTTCACCTCCGTCGAAGCTCGCTGTCATATGCTATTTCGTTTATTTACCAGAGCTCTAGCTCCAGTAGGGGTACTGCATGTGGGACCGAGAGGAGCCTTTGTGGATCTGCGCGATGGTGCCCCAGCACCCATCAGGGATGAAGCCGAAAGACAGTTCCAACACCCTGGCTAGGTATCCTGCATTAAAACTGCAAGATGGTTGGGTGCTGCATGTGGAGTTGTGTAATCTAAAGCCGACAGAGACGAACGAACATGCCTGGCCTGGAGAGGACAGTAGTTCTGCAGAAGATACGTGACCGAACATTCTTCGATATGATCGCTGCAGCTCAAGGTTTGCACCTCCGATCGACAATATCGAGCCTTGGAAAACCACTTGGCGGGCAATCTCAGGGCGCTAGTTAGGTCGCGGATGCACGCAGTCGGGGAAGACGAGTTGAAAGTCTCACATAGTTCCTCTGCAGCGTTTTGACAAATCTGCACTCTGCCTAAGGAGAAGTCCGGAGAGAACACAGGATTGGGCCACATCTTTCACAACAAAGGCCGCGTTGGTTAGCAAGCGACCATGTGCCGGTGCTGAGTGTTCAAGAAGTCCAATCATTGAAAAGTATCGAGGCTTTCAGCCCACCTAATTAATTTTGTGAAGGTGGTCTACTCGTCCAATTTCAGATTGGCCGGACATCGCAACTTGGCTCTGGCTTTCCTCACAGGTCTTGACCGCACCGGCTTCGGTCAGTATGAAAGCAATGGTTGTAGATTGGTTGTTGAGCTCGGGATTTCTCAAAACGCCTTGTCTCCACGATGTTCGGCATTGGCACAAGTTTCGGCCAAAGTTTCGGGTTGGAGACAGTTCGGCGGCCTTGTTCGTTCTTGCAGCGCGGAAAGACGAGGCTTTCGTTTATCTCCGTGCACCTAGCAGCGCACGCCGAGCATCTCCATCGCCGAAACACGGATGTGTCCGAAATTCTTTGGGGTTCGCGTGTTTCCGAGCTTTGCTGGAGACTGAGCTTCGCTTGTGGCAGGGCATGTGGCAGGGCTTTTCACTGTATTTTCGCCAACAGGGGCTGCAGCATCTCTGTTGCACGTAATCTAGGCGTCCAACATCGTCGGACATGCAGTTGTGCAAGTTGGAGACTAGCCTTCATGAGCCGGCTTTTACACATTTTGCTGGGGACTGCAGACTGCTGACATCTCCCGACCGTGCCTTTCGCCTCAGATCTCGACGCCCCATCATGCACACATCACAGCAGCTGAGAAGCACTTGTGGCGCGCGGGTGCGTGCGCGGGTTTGCGGCTCCTCACGCCTCTTCCACTTGGTGTGATAGCGTGCCTCACCAGTGCAGCCACCAAGGCTTCTTCTTCGGTGATTTGAATTATCGCTTGGACATACCTCCAGACGTCTTGGGCTTGGCATCAGAGGCAGCAGCGAACCAGGTGCCTGTAGCAAATGTTGCAGTCGCATTCGCCAGCAGTGAGACATTGCGATAGGCTTAAACGTTGTGGCAGGTGCAGGAGGCACAGATTCGCGAAATAATGCGGCTGATCGAGGCGAAGGACTACTCCTTCAGTGAGTTTCCAGTGAGTTTTATTCCGAAACCACTCCTCCGGCACAGATGTTCCATTCACAGTTTTGGCCTCATACAAGAGTGACTCAGCTCCCGGATGTCCGACACGTCAGGACTTCGCCAAGTTGACGAAGTATGACCAGCTACAGCAGGAGATGACTGCAGGTAAAGTCCTGCAAGGCTTTTCTGCGCTGGTCCCAACATGGGAGCCGACGTATCGTATGCAGAAAGGCGATTTTGCTGAAGCATATCCATGTTTTGCACTATGGACTTGTGCCCCGTGGTTTGTAAACTGTAAACATGGTTCAGGAAAAGTCGGTGTGAATTTCGACACAGCTCGCGTGCCATCAGAGCCTGAGCTTGCAAATGCCGCAGAAGTCTCGCTGAATCACTGGTGCTTGCTGACCTCTTCAACTTGCTAGTTGGTGATCTTGTTTCGGTGTTGAAATCGTTGATTTAATTGTTGTTTCTCCTCTGTTGTCCTTGCAATTCGGCTTCTCCCTCATGTGCTCACTTGTCCCGTACTTACATTATGAGTCAAGTGTTGACTTTCCACCTTGTGAGCCGTAGAGAGACATCGATCAGCTCGCAGCAGGGCCCTGAGCTTTGTATTGGCCGAGATCGCCACGTCCGAGAGGTCGAGGTTCCGGATAGGGATGATCACTTTGTCGCATGCTCCCAGAATAGCACAACTTTTGGAATTGTTCATGTCGTGGCATCTCGATCCTGACATGATCTCCGGCTGCCCCTGAAACTCAGTACTGCGATCGCATCCTTCATCGCAGCATGCCTGGTTGCACGGGGAGCTTGCAGCTTGTGTCCTTCAACTCTGCACCAGTTCCTTGGTTGCACGCAGCCGGGACCGGGAGGCTTTGTTTGTCGCTTGTAGGCGTGAACACAGACGGGGACGTTGGACACAGTTTTCAGGAAGTGGCCAGCTCAGACCACAAGCCCATTGCCAGCGACTGGCTGCTCAAAGCCTCTCATCCCGAAGGAAGCGCACGGCGGCTTGTCTTGTCTGCCCGGAGTGCTGCAGCTGACTCCTCTGAGTCTCTGAGCTTTCGAGAAGTGTTCGAGTCTCTGAGCTTTCGAGAAGTGTTCGGACGCTGGGCGCTTGCTGGAATGCGGGGTTTTGCTGGCAGTCTTTGCACCCGATCAGCAAATTCGGCTCACCAACCTCCCCGAGCTGTCTTGCAACAGAGTGTGATGTCGGCAACTTGTGCAGTCGCGCTCGGTTGCTCGAACCGTCGACATAGCACAGAAAGAGCAAGAGGGAATTGCTAAGGTCTCCGAGTCTACAAGCACATGCGAAAGATCACCTTCACCCCAAATTAATTAAGGAGTCATAAACAGCTATGGAAGCTTGTGAAAGGTGAGAGCTCAGCCAATGGCTTTATTTCGATCACCTAGTCAGCAAAGTGGGTGGGACAAATTCCGATCGCCATGAATTTCCGAAACATCATGTCGGGCGGCTAGTAGTCTAGTTGTTGTTGTTTCTTAAAGGTGATAGTCCTGCGCCTTGCATTTTGGGCATGCAAGGAAGCGGCTATGCTTGGAAAAGCTTTCCACGCGGATGCACAGCAAGGTGCAGCCAGTACTCAAAGTCACCGTGTTTCCCAACAAGGCAGAAGACGAGCAGGCCGAGCAACTGTCGAGTTGAGGCATTTTGTCCACCCCCGCCATGCGCCCCTTCGGAGGCGGTCTCGAAGTGCAGGGGAAGCCCTGGTCAAGGTGAAGAAGCCGTACATGTGTGGATGGACCCTCAGTGGGCGGCCTTGAGACTGGCATACTGAAATCTATGTGATGGCCGAGGGAGGCGCTTGGCTTCGTGGCGACGGTCACTCATCTGCTGAATGTTTTGGAGATGAGGTTTGGGCGGCTGATTAGTCCGTGTGCAGCTTTGTTCTCCGGCGCAACTATGACTGTCAAGGCCTACCAGCCGAGCTCCTAGAACCGTAGAATTCCACTCGCACGGACTTGACTAGATCCTCGGGGAGGGTTTCATTGCAGGCTCTGGGCTTCCAGGAGGGCCTGCCGGAACCGTCGTTCCAAAGTTGAAGTCCGGGCTTTGGCTTTAAGCAGGGCTTCGTCGAATGCAAGGGACTGGCCCCTATGTTATGTTTCTATTGAATGTGGTGGAAGCTAGTACCCACGGCTCCAGGGCTTGCGTGGGGCTAGAACATGCGTCGAAAGAGCTCTCCAAACCCTGTCATCTTCGCGACCGCAAGCCTGCGAGCGCACCAGGTGTTCACAGGCATTTATGTATTGAGTCTTGGGGCCACACAGTGGGGCACCTAGTGCATGTCCAGGGTCACCGGTCGACAGCCGACCTGTTTCAGAGGATGAAATGACGTCGCCAAGGATGCTCGTGATGCCCTCGCTAGGCCTGGAGATTTAGATGCGCCAAGGCGCGGACTGTACGTGAAGACGATGCAATACAGAAGGGACCACGAGCAAGAAAGGTCGGCCCGAGGCTTCACTGAAGATTGTGAGCCGCTGATAGAAGGACTGCAGCCATGTATTCCTCAACGAGGACCTCTACTCGCAGCGCCGTCCGGAGGCCTTTCTTCTTCCTCACCCTCCAAATGCACGGGCCGCATGGCAGAGCGGCAGAGCGCGCAGCTGGCGGTCATCGCCGCGACCCCGCACTTGTAAACGTTCAACGTTGTGCAAAGGGCATAAAGGGCTCAACGGGTTCATTTGTCCGTCCGACCGCGATGGGAAGCGGGGGAATGGACTGATGCAAGGGCCTCCTCGGCAGCACCAGAACTTGTAAATAGATCTTTCGAACGATTCTTCAAAGCGGTTCAGGCTGCTGCGAAAGTTTAGCGCTGCGTGGGTTGATTTGCTTCGTGGTGGTGGTGCCTTGAAATGGTAGAGCGCGGCAGACTGTGCCAAGAAGCCCCTCCAAACGAACTTCGTGCCCGAAAGCAGGAAAATCCGGGGCATGAAGGGATTCGGCTTCGTCAAGATGTGAACGAAGCCTTTAGTGGGCCCCGTGCCCGTAGAATTGCAGTGGTCTGCACTAGAACCCCGTGAAGCCTTCAGTGTCGGCCCACAGTAATATGGCAGCCAAAACATATTCGTGCCCGCCATGTTCATCAGCCCGTGCTGCAATAATGTAAAGGAAGCGGCGTAAAGCGAGCCTCCAACTCGGCGATCTCGGCGGACGCGCCTATGTGTATGACTGTGACAGGGGCGCGTGCAGTGTGCCTGCAGCATGGGAGCACGAAGACGGCTGGTACATCTTCTCGATGCCCACAAAGTCCGCGCTTGCACCGGAGCCTGTGGGGCCGCTGTTCTCTGTGTGTCGCTGTGTGTGTGTGTGTGTGCCTGCTTTATCGAGCTTTGCCTACCATGGGCCATGGGCCGGGGTGGGGCAATTTGCAGTTGGCACTGCACAAGACGAACCCAGGTCGGGCCAGATGACCACATACTCATCCACATCTGGGACCAGAACAAGGCCTCGTTTTGTCCTTCGAGTCACGACCCATCCCTGAACCTCTGCAGGAGTGGCCCATAGATGGACTGGTGGGGGTTGTTGTGCCTCGGCTCGCTCGCCTGTTCAGGACCATCGCTCGGCCTGTAGGACATGCTTTGCAAAGAATGCATGTGATGCGAAGGCTGCCACAGTCTTTGCACCGCATGCGACGAACTTCACCACAACGCAAACCCGCAACATATCGCAACATCGACCGTGGAGCTGTGGTTCTCTAACTGAGGTTTTGCCCTTGGCGCAGCCCTGTGTGAGTAGCCTTGCTGAAAGAGCTTCGCCCTCTGACACCTCACCCTCCTTCGGGTAATCCAAGGCTTTCGAGAGCCCATCATTGGCTATGGGGAGCTGAATGGTACCATCGAGGGGTTGTTGAGGCAGATACCGCACTCCGTGACGATTTGCTACCATTGTCAACAAATGTCGTTAGTGTCTTATGTGCCGGACACGGGGAGGGTGGAATGGGACGTCCTGCATCATGTTCTTCTTGCATGTGGAGTTTATGACTGCAGGATAAGCAGTGAGCCGGGTCTCTGACCGTGACTGCCGGCGTCAGATGTGAGGCACTCACCGTGGACACTGTCTCACCAGCCGTCAGGCCCCACGACCACAGCCTCCTTGTGAGCCTTTGCAGGGCCAGTGAAAGACCAAATTAGCTCACGGGGTCTTTTGCGGCATTGATTTGGCACAGATTGGTCGTTTGCAGATAGCTGCATGCCGTGCATCGCCTCCTGCCAATCATGCCGTTGCCTACGGCACTCAGCAACCCAGCGCAGCCAGACATGTTCAGCAACCTGCAGCAAATTGCATGTGATGATTGATCCGTGTATGCTAAGCAGCCACTATAGCCAGTCCCAGCAGCAGAGGCTCTGAGCTGAAGCCTTGAAGATTGAAAGCTTCGTCACTTCAGTTCCTATCGGATAGCGGATAGCAGGTTTGCCGCTTAAAGCCATGGCGCCCAAAGACAAAGAGCGGCTCGATGGCCCAGGTGCGGCTAGAATGGTTAGAGAGGAAGCCGCGAGATTCATCACACTTCGTTGCCCCTCTCTGCCGTGTAGCTCCGCTGTCCCTCTTGTCGGAACACGGGCTGAAGTTGCTGGTCAAGGCTGCACACTAAGCCATAGTAACATGGTTCCGGCATCACTCGGCAGTGAACCACCTGCAGTGATGCACGATGGGCACCTGTGCAGGTAGGTTGTGTCTCAGAGATCGTTGCACCTTGCATCTAGTCAACATATCTGTCTCCAGCCAATTCAGGACAAAGAAGTGCCTTTGCATTCATTTTCAAACCTCTAAGGTTGCGTCTTGTTGTGCTAACTTCAAGCGGAACTGGGGCGGAAGAGCCTTTCCATCGGTAATCCAATCCCGGTTTGTGTGGTGTAGCTCTGGAGGGAAAGGTCGCGGGCGAGGCGGGCGAGGCAAAGGTGGCAAAGGCGGAGCACCGGCCCTCGGCTCACAAGGGAGCGAACACGTTTTGGAACGTTTCGATGATGGAAGTCCCGAGGTTGGTGTGGCTTCGGACACTGCAAAAAGGCTCCAGGCCAGAGCCGGCTGCCGAAAGCGGCAGTTCCCCATTTGGAAGGGCTGTTTTGCAGACAGGAGCTGGATGGTGGCTCCGTCGAAGCCGAGTCCAACTTCGAGATTCTGCGGGCACAGCGAGCGCAAGCTCGAAAGGGGGTCAAGCAGTTCAAGGACATTTTGGCTTGCCCACATAGGGCCGGTGGACGTACAGATATGCATGGATAGAAGAGTATAGAGTGAGTATTTCCTCGAACATGCTGACAGGACATTCGCGAAAACGAGGGTGTGGATGAAGACGATCCACTGAATAGCATCGACGATGGTATCCGCCTTGCCCTCAACAGCCTCAGCTCTTGTCGAAGTCGTGACTCTTCGAAGCTCGACTGTCGCCGAGGCCTCGAGCCCTTCAACATGCGCCGAGAGATGAGGGAGGGACACTTTGATGAGAGCGGATTCTACGTACTCAACAAGGACCGGCCGCAATAGACAGCGGGGGAGCAGTCGCATAGGTTGACCTGGCAGGACGAGGAGAAAAAGGTGACAGATGCATGGTTAGACACCGTCGACCAGGCGCTTGCGACCGTTTTGGATGAGCATATGCAAAAGTTTGCCAATAGCCGTGGTAGAAGGAATTGCATCGTTGGTTTTGCCCGGCAGGTGATCGGGCTAGGTCCGCTGCTTAAAGCTTCAAGAACGTTTCTGGAAGCCGTGAGGCAGAACGGACAGCCACCTTCAGAGCAGCCTGGGGCTTAAAGGGGTCTGTAAGATCGCACTCACATTTTTTGGTTATGAACTGCTGATGTGCTGTAGTGAACTGCTGGGAAATGTGAGTACGCAGATTTTGCTTGGGGCGTGATCCATGCCGTGCCAAAGGCTTGACGGTCCAGCCTGCTAGCGTCGCTAAACCGCTAAATTGTGCACCTCTGCAGAATGTCGTGGTTTCGGACTGACTGCTGAGAAGCGCCACGACATAGATTTCCGAGCTTTAAATTTAAGTTGACGCACAGTGGATGGTTGTTTGGTCAGCTGAGGCAGACAAGCAGAACAAGGCTCTGGTCGGGAGCCTCAGTGGTCGCGTCGGGACGCGTTAGCGAAGTGGCAGATAAAATCAAATGATGCAAGGAAGCCTGAAACGGATGGAAGAGTTGAAAATGAATCGACTTTGCTTTTCGACTTTTCGGGCTTGGGGCCAGGCTTGGGATCCCCGGCACTTTCGGTGGGCGCGGTTATGAAAAAAGTATGATTTGCCCACCCAGGACACAGCAGCAAATCGTTTGTCGGCCATGGCCAAAAACCTGGGTCCGGACTCTGAAGGTGAGGAGGAGGACCTGAGTTTCTTGCACACTCTGCATTCGGCTCACTTATAAGGTTCCCAGGAAGCAGAAGCTCGAGTTGCCGGACTCACGAGGCTTTTGCATGGAGTGTCGAGCCGCAGCGCTTGTCCCAAAGCAGGCGATGCTGTTCAGAACGAGACAGCCTAGATTCATGTGAACTTGGTGGAGCTATCAGCTTCTACGTTACACACCCGAGACAGCAATGGCACGAAGTCAGCGGTGCCAGCTGCGCCATCCCAGCAATGTCTTTTTTCTGGGAGGGCCATGGCGACCACTTGACGCCGCTGAGTCAGCTTTGCCGAAAAGAAACCTTGGGCCAGCCTTCTAAGCGGCATATAGATTCATGCAAGATCAGCTGGCAGCCTTTGCAAGGGATGCGCTAGGGTCTTCCGACTGCAGATTGATAGGCTCTCGGAGGACATCTTCGAGCGTGTTACTTCTTTCCTCGAGCCTCGGCGCCCGCAGCATCCTGCCCATGCAGGCGCACATGTGAGCAGTTCGCGGAGTTTGAGGGCAGCTTAGCACGACATGGCTTTTCACAGTTCGCCACACAGGCTGGCTCTGTTGGCAGCGGGTCGCTGCATGGTATACGAGCAAGGGATGCATGGATGCCTCCAGGCAGAAGGGGACAAGATGTGGGAGCATTCTTAAAAAGAGGACAGCAACCAACATGCAGATGCACTTCGCCGATACATGACACCCTGGCATTGAGGGTGAGTTCCGGGCAGTGCCTGCTTTTGCGGTCTAAAGCAGCACAAGGTCGTGCATGTGGTGATCTCTGGCAAGTGCCTGCTGAAAATCTGGCTTTCGGATCCCGAAGCCTTTGAAACAGCCCGGCGGATGGCCCTTGTGTTGCCTCTGGATTCGCAGCTTGGCCATTATGCTGCAGGAGCTGTGTCCACCCGGGTTTGAGTTGTATTTTCGATCAGGTCAGTGAGTAGGTCCTTACCTTGTCTTGCTGTCCTCATGTGTCGATGCAGTCCAGGGCTTCTTATTGAAAGTAAGCTTCGCACACACGACTGAGCTGTGATCCTCTAGTGTAGCTGACGCTGGAGGAACGTTTCGCCGTCGCGATTCCTCTTGCCGATCATAGTGCATGCCAGCTTCCGCTTGCAGCCTGGCTGCTGTCTGGAGACTACCTTGCTCGGCGACATCGACCTTGTAGCGTCGCGCTTAGAGGTTATCCTGCAGTGGCATGGGCTAGGACGGCTAGGACGTCTGGAGTCTCGTAGAGAGGTCCGAAGCTCTGTGGCTTCGGTGAGAATCAGTGGATCTGCGAAGATCTTTCCATGGGAGATGCGCCCCCGAGATCATGACGAACATGGAAACTGCTGAAGCATTTGCCCCCGATGGGTGCTTGCGTAGCCTAGACGGCAGTGCAGAAAACAGGTGTACAACCGATGTGCCTTCGAAAAGAGGGCTGGTCCGATCTGTTTTTGTTCCATGGGGATTGAATTGTAGGTAGAAATGGAGCTCCAATCAAGCCAGTGGAAAAAAAGGTAGAAATGGAGTGATGTGAGCAAGACGGCACAGAAGCAGCCTGCCTGCAGCACAACCGCTAACTTGCTAACTGACAAAACAGAATGCATGCGCTGCTGAGAAGAGTCGAGCCAGGACGATGAGGACAAAGATGAGGGAGAAGGAGCGGAGAAGAAGGAGGCCCTTTGACAGAGCACTAAGCTCGCTTTGACATGCAGCTTTGTTGTGCGGTTGTGTTCTGACATGGGTCTAGCATCAAAGGCAAGGTTCCATTGGAGCTAGTTCAGGCTTTACAGACCTGGCCAGCATGATGCAGTTGCATGTTGAGTAGATGATGCAGAGTGTTTCCAAAGCCTCGTGAAAGCAGCAGGCAGCCGAAGACCCCAAAAAGACGGCTGAGGAGGAAGCCCAAGAGGACGAGAAAGATGAAGCCACGATTATAGACATGCTCAGACCTCAGAGATTCACTGGTGCTTTTTCCGAAAGACCGCCTATGATCCGTCTTCCGTCTGGGCTTTACGGTACTCAGTTGGAGATGCCAGGTTGGAGGAGCTGGTTGCTTTCCTCGAGCCCCTGGAGAGTCCCGCCCGAGCCTTTACGCTCATGGTCGAAGCTCATGGCACTACGCGGAGTTGTGGCTAGGGTGATGGCAGTGACAGATGCTGCCTCGCGCCGCATCTCCCGTGTCAAGCTGTGAGATGCTGGCAGCACGAACATGTTGAACAGCTGTGTGGCACAGTTGCGTGCAAACGCTTGAATGTAGGGCCAAGTAGCTTCCCGGTTCTGGCTGTCTTTCGACAGGCAGGGGAGTAGCTCTGCCCAACGAAGCTCTCGCGCGCACTCCAGGCAAACGTTCCTGCTTGTATCCACACTGGATCCCTGCGCGGGCAGCCGGGGGATTCCATTCCTTAATCTCGTTTGAAGTGCCCAAGGCCTTCCAAAAAGTGTGGTGAACAGTTCAACACGCCACTGAATTAGAAGACGGGGTTGAATCGTTGAAACGCGGCCCCAGACTCCGCGATCTGGTTGAAGTTGAAGTGGGCTGTTTTTTTGCAAACCAAGGCCATGGCGTTGGCGCGTGTGCGCCGCGGTGACGCAAGGGGGAAGGAGCCGGTCCTCAAGACTCGCGCCGCTGTCCCGGCCCAGACATAGGTTCTGAGTGCCACTCGCTTGTCGCGCGTTTCCATCTATCGCCTCTGAGGCACGCATGCGCAAGGCACGTGCGGAGGCAACCCAGGCTGTCACCCTTTCCTCGAAGGATGGTGATGCGCCACTTGGTTACACGAACATCGGATTCGGGAGTGTGGGCACATTCTCGCTTCGGCCAGGCATGCTGCAATATGTTCAAGGGGCAGGTGTCACCAACGCGTGAACGAAGCTTCTAGTTCGTTTTCAGTCTTGTGCCCAGGCGACCCAAGCGAAAAAAATTCAACGAGTGGGGTTACGAGGACTAGTGTTCTTGAAGGTGTTGGTAATGGTTCTTGCCCAGCTGCGAGCCCTATTCGGAGAAGGAGCCCAGCTCGATGGACGCGCCAGTGGCAGCGGAGGCACAGCCTGAGCAGGCCGTTATGCTCTTTTGTCAACTGTTAATCCACAATGCTCTTGATTCCATGATACAGTCGGACACCGAGCAGACACCTCTACCATGACCCCTGAACCCAGCCGATCCTGAACAACAATGGCAAGACGCCAGGCCTAGCCGCCTCGCAGAAGCATCTGCGCGACCACCACCGCCACTAACATCACGTCATGACCACGAGCCTGACCCTGACCGCGACCCGCCACCACGAGCACGAGCACAATCACCACCATCGCCACGACGACCCGTTCCAGCAGCAAGCAGCAGCAACAGCATTAAGAGCAAACCAACAACAGCAGAGCAGCAACGACAGCAGCAACAGCGACAACGGCAAAAACAGCAACACCGGTAACAGTAACAGCAACAGCAACAGCAGCAACAACAACAGTAACAGCAACCGCAGCAACAACACCAGCAACAGCAGGGCTAGTAGCTTTACATCAACAGCAGTCGTCGCGGTGAGTGTCACAGTAACACTTCCCAGCAACAGCGCCAGTAGCAGCAAAGAGTAGCAATGCCATGAGGAGTAGCACGCAGTCACAGCATCAGCAATGACTTCAAGGAAGAGCTGCAGCGGGACTCGCAAGCTGCTTCTGGGAGGGAATTTTAATTTGGGCCCAAATCCAGCTCCGATTGTAGAATACGTTCTCGTTGTGGTATACGGGTCCTGGTTGTCGTGCTCGCCAGTCTCGGGGGTCGGCCGCCGGTGGGCTGGAGGAAGACTGTCCCAAACTTTCACCATGTTTTGGGCGATTGTGAGTGGACAACGAGTTTTTGCAGCTCTAGGAAGTCTTGGCGCTGTGCAGGTACCTGCTGCACCAGCCTTGGACAAAGCTGCTCCAATAGGTGCTGATACGGCGGCTGCTGAGGCAGGTCATGTCTGGACGGTTTTTGCAGTTCATATTTGGACGGAGGATTTTCAACAAAGTGTGTTATCAGTGTTGGTCTTTGCAACCCTTGCAAGCTAATCTGGTGTGCTGCCCGAACGTTTGACATGTAAAGCATGGGATGGTCCGTAGGCACTGCTGCTGGTCCTGACATGAGCTGGGGTGCAGGCATAGCTACAGAGCCTTGCTTCCAAAAAAGCCTGGGATCTCCAGAGTAGAAGAACTGAAGCTTTGTGTCCATAGGCCGATGCCTCCACGCAGGCGGCTGAGCAGAAGTCCATATCCGACGAGGACAGAGGGAAGGCCAGCGCAACGCCCTAATCGCTTGTGCAGTGATGGTAAGGACGTTGACCGTTTGGACGCCATGGAGGGGCTCATGAGCAAGACTTCCTACTGCACTCACAGGTGGAAACAGAGCTGGCCAAAGCAGAAGCTGCACGTGCTGCAGCTGCAGCTGCAGTAGCTGCAGAGCGGGCGGCTGCTGCCGAGTCAGCCAAGGCGGCCGCAGAGAAGTCCGTGCACTCAGAAATTCACCCAAGAGCATGCAAATCAGTGAATGTGTTCTTGATGTCAAGTCCTTCAAGGTCCAGTGTCACTAATGCTGCGGCGGTGGCAGAGGCAGCGGCAAAGGCAGCTGCAGACGAGAAGGCAGCCGAGGAGGCAGCCAAGGCCGAGGGCGAGAGGTCCAGAAAAATTTGCGTAGTTTGGGTGATGGCCCAGTGATGGTTCCTCGCAGAGGCGTTTGCTGCAGAGATGAAGATGTCTCGCAGCATCGCTCGTGCGCTGGTGCCCGAACAAGGCCCCGAGGCGGTGCACTGAGGGCTGCGGTGGCAGCTTGTGACGCGGACTCGCTGGCGCATCCCGAAAGCTCACGATCTAAGGCCGCGGCTATCGTCAACCTGAACTCAGAGGCAGACTTTGAGTTCGTGCTGGCGGTTGCTCGTCCCCTCAAATCGTCCAATCCTGACTCTCCATTGATGCGTTGCTTGAAACGCGTTTGGCGTGATGGGAAGAATAAACCTGCTTGTTAGGCAGTTTATTCCCCAAGCTGTGTGGCACATTGGTACACACTAGTCTATGGGGCTCTTTACCGTTAAGTGTAAAGTTCACAGAAAAGCTAAAGGGGGATTCAGCAGTTCTAAGAGATGTGACGCTTTTGCGCCTCGAAACCTGATTCGCAGCAGTACTTGAGCGAAAGGATTCTGGCCGTCCTCCTGTAGATTTGTGAAACGTGCCATGTTGGGGAAAGGAATCGTGACGGGCAGCGTTCTAGCGGTAGCAGCGCTATCGAATCCTCTTCGAAGCAAGCATCCAGTTGGTCTCCTGGTGATCTGCTGGGTCTGTTTTTTGATGGCTTGTGGGGTCTTGTGTCTTGTGGTGGTCTGGTGTTGTCTTGGTTGTCTCCTGTGCTCCTGGTTATCCTAGTGACTCCTGGTGTCGTCGTGTCGTCATGGTCGTCGTGCTGCCCTTTCAGTCTTTGAGGATCTACGCTGGCATTATTAGGCAATGGCGAGGTTTGTGTTCTTGGGGTTCTTTGCTGGGTTCCGTGTCCTAGATGGCTGAGAACATGATGGGAAAATGGGCGGTCGGCCGCCTTCTAAAGCAACGGCCTTGCCCAGCCCAGAAATGGTGGCATACTGTCGGTGAAGGACGAGAAGAGACACGAAGACCCCCACCATCCAGCACGTCGTGCAAGTTGCGTCACATTTCAACTTCTACCACATAAGAACAGATGATCGTGGAGGTGGTAGCAGCTGTTGCGTTGTGGTGACAGAACATAGCAGCTTTTGTCGCTGGCCGGTTTTAGTATCATGTGCTTTAGAACAAAGGAGGATTTGTGGGCGCTTTCCGGACATGAGGAGCGTGCAAGAAGCACGCTTCATACTTCCCAGACATCTTCGCGCTAATCCCAAGCCCATACGTCCCTGCATTTGTGCAGTTGTTCAGCAATTGTACAGGAGACCCGTGATGTTCGGGAGAAGGCCATGCCAAAGCTTCCTGAGGAGCATTCGGCTTTTCACATCCATTGGCACTGTGACGGGAAGCTCATGTGCAGGAAGTGCCTGCAGATGGACCTCCACGACCTGGACACCGGCGCAAAGCGGCTCCAGTAGACGATGAGGAGGCTGCAAGGAGGGCGTGCCTAGCAAGGCATTTCGGTGGTAGGAAAAGATGTTGAATCCACGGCCCGTGGGTGTCAAGCCCAGGAAGATGAGCCGCCTTACTGACTTGTGCGATCGCCTTCTCGAGCGGGGCGTGCTGGTTTACGCACCTGGGTTCAATGTGGTAGACAAGGAGTCATATTAGGTCAGCCATGTGTGAATTGACATGGCCATGATCGGCTGTCAGTGGACCCAAGGATTCGGCTCGTGAGCTGCTTGCGATTGATGTCCGACAGCGGAAGGGCGAAAACCTGACTGGAGAAGAGGAATTGGCAGAGCCACCGAAGCAGGCACATCGCTTTTGGCAGTCACCTCTGAGCATTCAGCGTCCCGTTGCGTCGTTGCCGGTCCGAGCACCAAATGCCACGGGATGCAAAAGAGCTTTGCTTTTCCGAGTAATGCTTGTGTTACTGTTACTGACTCGCTTGTCGGCCGAACCCCAGCCCGGTGAACATCGAGATGCCATGAAGTTCTCAGCTTTCCGCAAGTGTTTGTGTGCAGGCCGAGGCCACCAAAGGCGACAAGAGACCTGCAAACGATGCTGCGCCTGAGGCAGGACCACAGAGCCAGCCCTACACTGCACTTAAAAGGCACTGCTCGCCCCGATCCGATTTCTGATTCTGGCGCAACAGTCGCTTCTGAAGTTCCTTCGGGAGGTTCAGTTCACCAACAAGCGCTTCAAAGCTGGCACGGGCCGCAGTTTTCCTTGTGGTGGCTTGGAGCTTCTTCCTCTAGTGTGTGTAGCATCATGCGGTGGGAACAAAAGCTTTGTGCAGTTGTCCTCAGGAGCAAGCGATGCCCCAGTCGTGGAAACAGTCTCAGCCAACTCGACAAGTTCGGCAGGCATTTGCAAGCAGTGAGGACAAGAGCTTTCTTCTTCTCTGCAGAGACAGGGAAGCTTGCGCGATAGCAGCTTCGGAGCTTGGCAGCTGGCCTGACGTGTCAGGTCCTTCTTCCACATCACTGCTGTGGCAGCCCCTGCCTCGACTCAAACCCACTTGTTCGGCACGCTAGGCAGCAGTCGTGGGCATTCAGTTTTGCATTCGTTGCGTTTCCCGATGTGTCGGCTTGGTGTCGGTTGTTGCTTGCTGTGATGTGAGCCGTGCTTAGACCCCTTCTGCATGTGCAGATTTAGCAGGGCTGCACTCTTCAGTTTGCGGTGGATAGACAACAGAGCTGGAACAGGCAGAGGTCGAGTTGGTGTAGGAGATACTGTCGGGTTTCTGCTGCACCATGCACATGCCTTCGCCTCTGGTGCTTGACATGCAGTTAGCGCTAGGCAATCTCTGCAGCAGAACTTGCAAGTCGCGGTAGATTCCATGACATGACAACGCCCATGCATCCGGCAGAAAGGTTTCGCTGGGGCCACAATCCTGACGAGATCAACGGCCCCTTCGACTCAGTCACGATGCAGGGCTGGATGATGCAGGCCGCGTCAGATTGTGACTCCACCTTCGTAAATTTGCAATGCCGTCCGCTGCCCTGCCAGGGTTGCTTCTCTGATGAACGCCCGGCTGAGTTCCGTCAGTGCGATGAGAAAAACCAGCCGAAGGAGAGATGGCCTTGTTAGCATCTTGAATCGCAGCCAGCGGTTTCAGCCGCCAGGAGCGATGCTGGCATCGATGGGACAAGATTGACTTCGAGCTGTACATGTAGCATGTGTGCAGGCGGTTGGCTGTGGCCTTGAAGCATCGACCCTTGCGTACAGCATGAGCCAGCCACGAAAAACTTTTCTTACAGGTGCTGAACGCTGCTTTGGCTACCTTGTTTGGGTTTGGGAGATGTGAGAGCCAAAGCGTCATGTCAGCTGGCATAGCTGCCTCGTCCTCCGAAGCTGTTCATGGCCCAAGCTGCGCAGAGAAAACCTTCTGCCCCAGAGGGGCCTAGAGGGCCAGACAGTACGACAAGAAGGTCAGGAGCTTGAAGATTGACTAGAACGAGGCGTTGGGATCATGCTTGAGGGAAGAACAACCCTGTTGTCCTTGTGCATTTCGCTTGCCTGGTCAGGTGAAAACATGACGTTTCGCTGTGAAACGTGGCTCGGCAGCACTGCAAACCTCCCAGACTGTGTGCGGTCCGAACCACTACCGCCGTCCATGCGTGAGCTTACCTGCCTCGGCCTACGGTTTATGTGAAGAGCCTGAAGGTAACAATGTAGTCGAGCATGTCAATACGTCTCGCCTCGCAGGGATTACATGTGGCTCCCGGCGTTCGGCGAGGATGAGAAGAATTGGCCCAATGGGCTTCGAATAGCACTGGCCTCATCATGAGCCTTGTGCTCGCAGCATCGCTTCTTTGCACAGCAGGACGCATCTCTCATGGTATCTCATGGTGTGCCGCATGCTTGGAATTTAGCACGGTCAGCACATGGAAAAAGCAACACGGTCAGCAAGGGCTCGGTCCGGCGTGCTGGCTTTGTCCAGGTGTGGGTAGTTTGCATCGCTGTAGTTTACCAAGGGAGGTGGCAGCGAAGCTTTTCCAGTGCCGTGCACCTGCTTCACAACGTAAGGCAACCGCAAATCAGCAAAAAAGCGTTTTCGTCTTTCTTCCAGTGACAGCACGGAGGCATCGGTGAAGCACACGACTCGCTTCAATTATTTTACAGCAACGGCAATCACGTTGTGCATGTTAGAATTCAGTTCTTGGTTTTGCCCTTGTCATTCGTTGTTTGCTCTTAGACATTGAAGCTTCAGCAAGGTTTGCATGGTACATAGGTGCGGCACAGGGCAGCAATGTCCTCGACTCGGGGAAAGCCAAAGTCCAAGAGAGTTGCGTGAATCGATTGCCAACACAACGAGCAGGTTTTGCAGAGTGTGCATTTGCATTTGGGCTTAAGAATCAAAAAACTTCTTGCGGAAACAGCGGGGAGGTGGGGTGGCGGGACGAGGAGCAGTTGCCTCGCCCCGCCCCAACTGCTTTTTGAAGCCGCCGAGTTCCTCTACGTGCTGGGCCTCTTCTACTGTTTCCTCGGAGTGGCCGTGGTTTCTGACGTCTTTATGAATGCCATCGAAAGGACAGGTCTTTGCACGCGAGATGCCAGAGGTTTCGAGTCTTTCATTGCAGTGCCGAGTTCCATGCGTTGCAGGATAACATCCCAGAAGAAGAGGGTCAAACTCAAGTCGACTGGGAAGATTGCCTGTCGCCCAGCCCTCCAGACTTGAGTGGTCTTCATCGTGAAGACTGATATGCTTACTCACACTGGATGTCCATGTGGCATGACAGCCTGTGGAAATGCTGCTCGACCTGCTTCTCCAGAAAAATGCGAGTAGTGATCAAGCGTAAATGTATCCTGAAGCTCTACGCAGATGCTAAGCCTCAAAAGCTCCTGGCTTGGGCGTCAGGTCACGCAAACGGTGTGGAATGACACCATGGCCAACCTGACGTGCCTTTCCTGCACGCATCACGGCATCTCACATGCCGAATGGTGGGGCTAGTCAGATTGTCAGGCGATGCGGGGTTTTCTCTGCAATCCTTCCTAGGGTCCTAGAGTATAGACAAGCAGATACCTTCGGGGCCGGGCTGCCCCCGGACCTCCTTGCGAGTCACGAGGCTTATGGCGCTGGGCTCGAGTGCTCCAGAGATCCTCCTCAGTGTGATCGATGCTTGCTTAATGTCAGAAGTGACGCGCAAAGTTGCGATCCTGTGTTCGTGTGGTGTGATCAGCTGCTGCAGTCCTCAGGAGATCATGAGCAACGAAATGTACATCGGCGATTTGGGCTCTGGCACGGTAGTAGGCCATAGCCATACCTCATAAATGCCATAAGACAGGTGCAATGCTGTGGTTGAATGTGGCTGTTTGCCACAGCTACAGACAGCAGTCTCCTTCGGCAGGCAGTGCGGCGTTCAATCTCCTTGTGATCAGTGCCGTTTGCGTCTGCGCAATACCAGACGGGGAGGCTTGTGCGTATATCAGTGGGCACAGCAGCGCGGAGGCCTAGTGCCCTCGACAATTGCGCTGCGGGCAGGTGCGATACATCAAGGACATGCAGGTGTACTGTGTGACTGCACCTTTGGCTCCTGTCGATAATGAAGGTCGCTGTTTTACATGCTGTACAAGGGCTACTAGGGCCAGCGAAGCTAGCAGGCAACAGGCATGATCCCATGCAGACGCCATTGAACGTCGCCATGTCTTGTACAAGCCACTGCTGAAGCTTCTGCACCTTGTCCAATGAAATCCAATACAATTGGCAGCTCACGGCCATCCGAGGCAACTTTCTCCATCTTGGCTTATGCAGCTGATCTTGCATGGAATGCAAAATGTTCGGTCTGGTTCTGTGGTGCAGTTGGTTTTGGGTATGCAAGAACCACTCAAGTCGACCTCCCCTAATTCTGTTTGGATCCGCGGCCTCGCCTTGGAGCCGTTTGAGTGTGCTCAGGTCTGGCTTTTGTTGATCCTCATGGTGATCTCCCCGGATATTTGCGAGCTCTGGGAAGCTGTGGAACATAGACTGCATTGCATCCTTTGCTTTTTGTATCTCTTTGCCATGTTGTTCCCGGATTCGGCCCTCTGTCTGTGGCCGAGGTGACGTTCCTGCTTTTTCCTGCTCCTTGGCCTCGCGAGACTTTGCGTTACTACATTTTTTACACATTGTTGCTTTGCTTTGCTCAGGTTCTGCTCGCGATTGCATTTGCTGCGGACAAGGCCCGAGATCGGTTCCTTCGGAGGTGCGTGTGCTTTATAGTCCAAGAGACAAGCAGAGATCGAGCAAGCAGGGCTACTTTTCTCCTGGTGGTGACGAAGAACCCAAACAGGATGAGAACTTCCACGGATTCTCGGAGAAGTTGGAGTGATCAATAGCAAGTGTTTCTTTTGTCCGTGCGTGTGTGGATGTGTGAGCAGGTGGATATATGTTCAGGTTTTGCGGTTTACTGGAATTCTCCGTGGCTTCCAGATTCCGAAACGCATTCTCCTCAATGTCAAATCAATACGTTCAGGTGATCGGTGATGCTGGGCAGTGATGTGTTGAAGTTTGTTGAATTCAGGTTATGCCCCCCTCTCTGTCCCCCGCCTCCCCTCGGGCACCATCACACCCGCCCTTGGTCGCAGCGTCAACCCCACTACTACTGCTACGCTACTGGTACCGCCTGCCCTGGCTGTTTTTTCCACTGCTGTTGGCTCGCTCTTCTGCTCCTTCACTATCGTTGCCAATGATACTGCTGCTGCTACCCGGGCCAGGCAAGCAGGATCGTGAATTAAGTTTCGAACATTTCATACTTCGAAATCGTAGTTGAAGCAGCTCACAGCTTCAACATCTATCTCATCGTAGACCTCAGCTGCCCATCTGTGGAGCTGACCCAGGAATCAGGTCCTCCACAAATCTCCTTTCCGCCCTTCCCTTCCAGTGACCCTCCCAGTGCTGCTTCTCATCAACCGTCGCCGGCAGAAGTGATGCATCGGGGGCGTAGCCGGATGAAAGTTTTGTTACCTTCCTTGCGAACTGTGTCCTGACATGTTTTACTTGCGAGCTGTTGCAGCTGCAGACTCACCTCCATTTCGAGTGCGAGTTCCTTCACTTAATTCGGAGTCCCAGACGGCGTTGGCAAAACCCTCGCCGCCGAGCTTTCGTCCAGCCTTCTCAAGTTGTTTTTGCCGTTTGGCAGAGCACAGGATGACTTGCGCCACAAAGAGCACTGTCTTCTGTATGGCATGAGGCTGGGATCAAGAACTCGAAACGGAGTGAAGTGCGAGGCAAACACAAAATAGTAGCGGCTCGGAAGCTAGACTGCGCTTCGTTTTTCAAACTGCCAAACGCATGCATCAAAAGCGAATAACGTGCTGTGTGTTACGCACTCGAACCCAAGAATGAGGGACGAATGTGTGTGTGTGTGTGTTAGCCAGCTTCACGTTCTGACGTTCATGTCACGTCAAGGTGCACGGCCAGCAAAGCATCGAAGGTGTTTTCGTTAAGTTCAGTTTGAAAGGGAAAGAGCTAAAGGATCTGTGTCCTTGGACCTTTCGGCTAGAACTTTGAACCTTTCCCTCTTTGGGGTAAACATCCAGAGCACAGGATCGCTCTACATCTACCAGATCATGACACTGTTGCAGCTTTCTTCTTCGGCGCGATTTTGTCTCTCTCTTTCCCTCCCTCTTGACCTTTTGTTCGTGCATGTATTCAATTATTGCAACAGCTTTGCTTGTCGGCTTCGGCTCTGTAGAGTTAGGCACGGTCGCAGAGGTAGACAAGGGACGGACAAGGAAGGATGGGTTGGCCCTCTGGCCAAGCCAAGAAAGCAAGGGGGTGGGTGGGCCATTGGGGGGGGGGGTGTAAGAGGAGAGGAAACATGCTTCTCATTTGTGGGAATCTGGTTCGGTCTGAATTTCTGGAAGCATGCGCATCTATGCGTGCATGCCTTTTCGTACATATGATGGTAGGTAGGAAGGACGGTCGGGCGGGTGGTAGGGAAGAAGCTTGGTCGTTCGGTGGGTAGGTAAGCAGGCAGGGTGCTGAAGACTTTGTGTCTGTGTGTGCCAGCGTTCGAAGCCCAAGTTGTTCATGATACACGTTCAAACGTACCAAGCTGAAGATCAAGGAGCTATTCCACCAGATGTTACCAAAGAGGAGTGACTTGATCCAGCTACGCATTAGTGCTTGTTCTGACTTGCTGAAAGTCTGAAGAATGTTGTGCGGCATGCATGTTGAGGTGTGACGAATGACTGAATGTTTGTTGTTTGCACATGTGAGTGCCCACACCTGAGGTTGGCGGAGATCGAGCAAAGTATTCGAGAGGAGTACAACCACAAAATCTCAGATGCTGGTTTTTGATTCAGCATGGTGTTCATTTCAGTGTTAAGACGTACCGACATACTGCTGGCAGCCGGCAGGGGGGAGAGAGGGACCGAGAGAGGGAGGTGGCAGAGTGACATGACAATGGGAAGACCAATCTTACAAAACAAAACACGCAACAAGGGCAGACAGACAGACAGACAGACAGACAGACGGACAGACAGACAGACAGACAGACAGACAGACAGACAGACAGAGAGAGACACACACACACACACACGCACACAGAGACAGAGACACAGACACAGACAGACAGACAGACACACAGAGAGACACACCTGTGGCCCGGTCTCGAGGGTCATCGGCGAGTTTTGCGGTCGAATCTCGCAAATGCGCCGGACCTCGGTGACCTGAAAACAGCGCTGTTTTGGGTTCAGGGTTTGGGGATTTAGGGGTTCAGGGTTTAGGGTTCGGGGTTTAGGGATTTAGGGGTTCAGGGTTTATAGGTTCAGGGTTTAGGGTTTAGGGCTCAGGGTTACGATGAGGGCTCACTGTAGGGGCTCGAGGGGGTCACTCTGGGGGTTTTGAGCTTCGTGCACTTTGGGTAGTTTTCTAAATTAGGGTCCCTTTTAAGGGTCCTTTTTATAAGGGTGCCGTTCTATATTGGGGACCCCCCCAAAAAAGGGACCCCAGTTTAGAGAACTACGCATTTCAGGTTTGGGTTGAAGGTGCCCGGGGTGGGGCTTCTGATTGGTGGGTTCTAAAAATCAGGGTGAGGGAGGCATAGCGTGGAGAAGACTTAGGCTTTAGGGCTTTAGGGCTTTAGGGTTTTAAAGGGCTTTAGGGCTTTAGGGTTTTAGGGTTTTAAAGGGCTTTAGGGCTTTAGGGCTTTAGGGTTTTAGGGTTTTAAAGGGCTTTAGGGCTTTAGGGTTCTAGGGTTTTAGGGTTTAGGGTTTTACAGTTTTAGGGTTCAGCGTTCTAGGGTTCAGAAGCATGACGCTGCCACCAATCTGCTGTGCTTGTCCAAGCCAAGGACAAGCCCTAAAAACCCCCCTGGACTCGCCACGCGCGCATGCGCATACATTACTCAAGGGTGTCAACCCTAAACCTTATAAACCCTAGGCCTGGCCTGTAACCCTAAACCCTAAACCTAAACCCTCAACCCTAAACCCTGTACCCCGGACACCAAAACCCTAAGCTCAAATTCTAACTCCTACCACTTGACCCCAAATCCCAAACATCCCCGAACCCTACATTCCCTAAATTCCCTAAATCCGAAACATCCCCGAACCCTAAACTCCTAAACATCCCCTAAAGCCCCAAAACTCCCTAAATTCCCCTAGTTCCTAAACATCCCCGAACCCTAAACTCCCTAAATTCCCAGAATCCTAAACATCCCCTAAATTCCCTAAACTCCCTAAACCCTAAATCCCGAAACCCCAAACCCGAAGCCCACAACCCGGAATCCGATCTACCGGCAGCAACAGACTGGGAGGCTCCGGCAAAAGGTCTCGTCGCATTCTGCGCCCGCGTAATACCTGGTCGCAGTGCCATGGCTCTCGTAACCCTGCACCCTCAACCCTACACCCTATACACCTTAAACCCTACACCCTAAACCCTACACCCTACACCTTAAACCCTGCACCCTAAACCCTAAACCCTACACCCTAATTGCACCTTAAACCCTACACCCTAAACCCTCAACCCTACACCCTGATTACACCCTGAACCCGAAACCCTAAAACCCAGGGGCTCTAGACAGAAATACGTAGAAAGGTGAGTGTCGGCTTCCTAGAGGTCGGCTCTACCCGCTCACCCCCTTATCTGGGTCTTTAGGGTTCAGGGTTTAGGGAAGTTTAGGGTTTAGGGGTTAGGGGTTTAGGGTTTAGGGGTTTAGGGTTTAGGGGTTAGCGAGATGATCCTGGTGCGCCCTGTGCAGGAACTAGACATCAAGCGGGCTTTCTTGCATCTGGACAGCAAACACTCTACAATCCACACTTTGGGGGGACTTGGTTGGGGCTTCGACGCACCTTGCTAGCCAAGGGTTTACAATGAGCCTGCGAGACAGTAATAATCACGGCCTTGAGGCCTTAAGGACGAAAAGATGTAATGCAGCCACTTGAACTACAAACCTTAAACACTGCTGCATTGCTACAAGTGATGATGATGAACAACAGGCCGGCGGCAAGACACTGCAACGACAACGACGACAGCAATCAATACGAGCGACACTTCAACATGCACCGGTTGCGGAAATGGGGAAGACTGCAGAGAGGACGTCTTCGAAGCCGCAACAGCTCTTTCTTCCCCTATAAATCCCTAAATCCCTACTTAACCTAGACATATCTAAACCCTAAACCCCTAAACCCCAAAACCCCTAAAGCCCTAAACCCCTAAATTCCTAAACCCCTAAATCCTAAACAAGAGCACCGGACCTGAACCCTCCAAGGCCCGAATAACGCTGAGACCGGCGCCATTGTAGCGGGTCCAAACGTCAAAGGAATCCTCGGGTCGGTTTTTAGGAGTTTAAGGGGTGTAGGGGTTTAGGGGGCTTAGGGTTTAAGGAGTTTAGGGGGTTAGGGGTTTAGGTAGGGTTAGGGGTTTAGAGGGTTTAGGGGTTTGGGGGTTTAGGGGTTTCAGGGTTTCGGGGTTTCGGGGTTTTGGGGTTTAGG